AGAAATAGAAAAAATTTAAAAAAATTGACAGAAAAATGAAAAAAAACTCCCTTTTTAGATGATTTTTTTTATTAATTATTACTGAAAGAAAATAAAAATAAATAAATTTAAAACGGATAAACATAATTTTATAATTAATTGTAACAATTTATGTTAAAATATAAAAAATAAATAATGACATTTTTTATAATTTTTTAGATTATTAATTTAAATAATTTTTTAGATATCTCAACTATGCATTTGGAAAAGAGTAATATTTTTCATATACGATGAATCTGTACATAAACCACTGCATGCCAATTGAAAATAAGGCAAAAGAAAAAAAATGAAAATGCAGAGGAGTCCAGACCACTCAAGTAACAAAACAATGTTATTTATAAAAAAATAAAATAAAGACAGATAATTGGACTATTTTAAATTTTTTACCTAAAGAGTCACATAATTATAAGAATTAATTATTTTAGCTAGCCGAGAAAAAACAAAATACTGAGTACGTAATTATTCACCTCTATCTTTGGAATTTGAAATCTACAATAAGTAAATAAAAATGAGTATTACCTTATATTTAGTGTATGAAAAAATATAATGTGACATAATAATTAAGTTAAATTTTTATTATTTTTTATAAAAAATTAAAATATCTTTATGATAGAAAATTAATATATATTTTTTAAAGTAAAATAGCATAAATAGGACTTGAGAAATTTTTCCAAAATAATTTATGCTACATGAAAAGATAATTTTGTTAAAATTACAATAAGAATTTTTTACTTTTTATTATAAAGTACAGATGTAACATTATTTTCTGACAATAAAATTGTACAATTCTGTATGGAATAGGCAAAAGAAAATAAATATTTGATTACACTTCATTTTGTACTGATCTTGAATTTGATGGAACGTACTCAAAAGTTTTGTAGTGATCTTGGGCCTCATCTGGCCCAATCCCAAGCCTGATCTAGGCCCAGGTTGTTATTATAATATATATATGTAGCGCCCGAGAAATTGAAGAAGAAGAAAAAAAAAAAAAAAAGGGGGGGGGGGGGGGGGGGGGAGGCCACGTCAGCAGACTCAGTCAGCAGTCCCGGCCAACCGGGACCTGCCACGTGGCAAGACCACGTCGATCCGGGACGGGCCACGTTGGCGATCCGCGTATGCGCGATCGGACGGCCCAGATGCAATCGCACGGACGGTCCAGATTCAATCAAAAACGGACGGCCCAGATTAAATCAAAATGGACGGTTTAGATCAAAAGGCAAAAGGGTATAAATAAGACCCCCACACCAGACCACAAAACCCTAGCCGCCTGCCCTCGCCGGAGAAGACGAACCAGAAGCCGGCCACCGCCACCCGCCGCCGCACCAGAGGGATTTCCGACCACCGATCGAGGTAAATTTCATACCCCCGACTCGTTTTTCCACGCTGATTTCCCCTGTGGCCAAATCGGAGCCAAAATCCTGACCAAACGGCCGGAAAACACGGCCGAAACCCAGCGGCGGCGCCGCGCCCCTCCTTGGTTTTTGCCTCCGATGAGGCCCTTCCCGGCCTCTGTTTAATGCAATTTTTATATCACCGTGATCACCATTCTTTTCTCTACAGGTTGATCGGAGCCGAATCACCAAAACACGAACTTCGCCGGAGAGCTGCCGTACCCTAGAGCACCGCCGCCGGTAAGCTTCGGTTTTCCGTAATTTTTTGATCCCCCGAGGGCCCTAGAGTTGTTTAATCGCAAGGATCAATGCAAGTGTGGCCAAATTCGGCCAGAAACGGCCGAAAAC